GTAGTACTTGCAAGGGAGAAAACGCGCGTACTTACTCAATTGGTCCACAACCGTGAGGATGCCGTCGTGCCCGAGCCGGTCGCGAGGAAACGGACCGATGATGTCCATGGCAATGGAGAGACCGGGTTCCCGTGGGATAGGCATCGGGTGTAACTCACCATAGGGATTGCGGTTGCGGGGTTTGCTGCGGCGACAAACTTCGCACGAGTTGCAATACCGAGTGACATCGGTAATGAGATCAGGCCATCGAAATTGCTGTCGAAGCCGTGCAATAGTGCGGTTGACTCCGAAATGGCCGGCGAGTTGCGAATCATGATACTTGCCGAGGAGGTGAGTCCGAAGACGACGGTCGCGTGGGACACATAGTAAGTCCTTGCCTCTCGAGTGGAGGAGCAAGTACCCGTCGACAATGCAGTAGTGGCTGGCCGGCGAGTGATCCGAAGATAGCTGTGCATATAGCGTGGCGAAGTCCGGATCAGACTGGTACGCCCGGATGAAGTGTCGCTGAAGCTCCTCGTCGAATGCGAAGGCATGATGAGTCATAGCGCAAAGATCAGGTCTTCGCGAGAGTGCATCTGCTGCGCGATTGGAAAGGCCGGGAAGATGTTTCGGTGTGAAGTCAAACTGGTCGATGAAGTACATCCATCGTCCGATCGTGCTGCTCACCGTATCCTGCGTCTTGTAGTAAGTTAATGGATTGTTGTCCGTAACCCATGTGAACCTACGACGCCCAAGGAGGAAGTGCAGCCATCGCTTGAGAGCCATTATGAATGCGAGCAGCTCCTTCTTCCTTGCATCATCAAGCGAGTTGATGGGAGGCACTTTGTGGCTGAAATACTCCACAGGGTGTCAGTCGTCGCTATTGTGCTGTTCCAAGACTGCCCCAATGCCATAGCCGGAAGCATCCGTAGTCACTCTCGTCGGCAGGGTGGGGTCATAGATGCTAAGGACGGGTGCCATGAGCATAGCCGTCTTAAGTGCTTGGAATGACCGGCGTGGGTCGTTATCGAATACGAATGGCACCTTTGGCGACTGTAACCTCGTCATAGGTGCAGCAATCCTGGAGTATCCGGTGATGAATCGCTGATAGTAGCCCGCCAATCCCATGAATGAACGCACGTCCGTGGTGTTGGTGGGATCGGGCCATACTTGTAGGGCCTCGATCTTGTCCGCAAGCGGACGGATGCCTTGCGGCGTCACATAATGTCCCAAGTACTCCAGCTCCTGCCGCGCAAATTCGCATTTATCGCGGTTGGCTTTGTACTTGGCTTGTCGTAGCCGCTCCAAAACGGTGCGCAGGTGTTCCACATGCTCCTCCAAACTCCGGCTATACACCAGGATGTCGTCGAGGTAGATAAGTACGTATCGATATAACATGTGTCGGAACTCCGTTGTCATAGCCGCTTGCAAAGTGGCCGGGACATTCGTAAGGCCAAATGGCATAACCAGCCATTCGAAATGCCCATATCGCGTCTTAAACGTAGTCTTGTAGCGATCCTCCTTGCGAATCTCGAGTTGGTGATATTCTGACTTGAGATCGAGCTTGGAGAAGAACTTGGCGCCGCCCAGTCGCTCGAGAAGATCGTCGATGCGTGGGAGAGGGCCGGCGTTTCTGATCGTCTGCGCGTTGAGCTTGCGATAATCGATGCGCAACCGCAAATCCTTGTTCTTCTTCCGGACGAAGAGAACAGGAGCATCGTATGGCGATGAGCTAGGCCGAATCCAACCTTTCTCCAAAAGGTCGTCGAGTTGTGCCCGAAACACACTTAACTCTTCCTCGCTCATTCGGTAGATGCAACCGCGCGGAGGTACGGCCCCGTCCTCGAGGATGATCTCGTGGCGGATGGGCCGATCGGGTACTACTCCGTGCGGGCCTTCGAACACGTCGCTGTAGTCGTCGAGAAGCTCGGTGATGCCTGGATCCGAAGGTGAGTCCGTCGATGAAGTCATGGGTCGGGAGGGCGTGGAGAAAACATACCCCCATCTCCTCGATGTCGTCTCTGATGATGGAAGCTAGAATGCTTGCGGCGGATACCACGTGGCAGCTGATCGAAGGATGAGGAAGAGGCACAGTGCATGGAACTAATACTCCGTTCCGGTCACGAACGTGAACGGTGCGGTTGAAGAAGTTCACCGGGTGATCCTTGCTTCGCAGCCATGACATGCCCAAAATTATGTTGAATTTGGTGTCCAAAATGTCAAAGGACACCGCCTCACTTGCGTGAGGGGCAAAGTACACTGGGACGCTGTCAATGCACCGGTCGATTGACTTGTGCGTGTGACCGTCCGCCAATGTGACTTGAGTAGGCTGGGGCTTCCTCCGGACGCGTGGGCCAAGGCCGGCGCGCACCATGAAGTCCTGACTGATGTAGTTGCGAGATGCTCCGCAATCGATCAAAGCGCTGCAGGTCGCTTCTCTGATCTGAATGCGTACATATAGCAATGGTGCGTCGATGTCGTCATACCGTTGCGTCTTGAACTCGCGGTCGATCTTCGCAATGTAGACGTGAAGGTCGACAACCTCTACTCCGGCGTCCATCAACGGAGTCGGTACTGCAGTGTGCAAGTAATCCCACAATGGTGCCATGAGCACGTTGCAATGCGGTTTCGGCAATCGTCCGGTCGGGGGAACGGGCATCCACTGGAAGTTCGTGAACGTCAGTGGGTCGAGCACCTCAAGTCTTGACCACGATGATGAATCCCCGACGATAAATGGCGGCGAAGCTGCCGAATCGGTTGCCGATGGTGATGAAACCGTGCATGCGGTAGATTGTTGCACGTGGAGCGGTTGGTCCAGCGGTGGAACCAAGTGGACAGCATAGTCCTCGTAAATGTAACGAGAACCTGCGACATTCGCATCCTCCCCAGATGTGCAGGAGGCCGCTAGCAAGGCGGCCGAATCTGGCGGAGTAGAAGGTGGAGTCGCCTCACCTTCCGCGGAACTCAGT